CGCCGACAGCGTCGTTGTGCCGCGGCCGAGACGGCGGCGCGCGCCGGCGGCGGCGCGGTGCTCAGACAATCTAATTTCTGGCGCGTCCCCGGCGATATTAATGCAAAGACCCAGGAACTTCAAACTTGATTAAAAGCTGCGGTCGGATCGTGGGGAACCATCAAGGTCCGACGAATATGGCGCGGCGTGATGATATTCTGAAGGGCATCAGGGATATCCCGGTCGCGGGCAGCAATCCGTAAAATGGGCACGCGCAGCTGGGAAGTGGCTGGCTCGTTTATTGAGCTCCAGACCTGCTCAAGTCATGCAAGTGAATTACCGTTCGGAACATGAAACTGACAGAGACGAACTGCCCGGTTCATGCCAGCATCAATCAACAAGAATGTTTACATTCGGTGCGCAACAGAAATATGAATATCGCAAAGCTTCACTTTCAATGTCTGGCACCCATGTTGCGCTTGATTCGTTCGTCCTCGGTGACACCCGACTCAGTACGCTACCACGCCAACGCTTTCAATTCAAAACTTGACTGTGGACCGGTGCTTGCCAGACACATCATTCCGAATGTATCGCCGTTGATTCAACGACACGCCCGGTCATTGTTGCAGTATTGTTCGCCAGAGCACGACCGGCACCAGGTCTGCAATCCTTGCTTTATCGCATGGATATGTTTATTAATAATCACAGTTCAGCATATAAAATGACACAGGCACTAAAAGCAACTTCATCCGACTCACCAAACGGCTGTGGTACACGTAGAAACAATATCAAACTGTACAAAGAACAGCAGTGGTGGTGCACGTCCTTCCTCCAGTTCGCCCAGCTCGCTACCGTCCGCCATATAAAAACGCCACTCGTAAGCCCGCTGGGACCATGCCCTGTCACCGTCGGCCCGTCGAGCCAGCACTCCCCGGTCGCACGCGCCGGCGGCACGTGCTTGGGGGGGGGAGAGGACGCCGGCTGACAGGCGGCCCCGCGAGCCCGGGTCACGACCCCCGACCCCGGCGGCCGCTAAGGCGTTGGCCGCAGGCGCCGCGGCGCGCCGCCAAAGCCCGGAGAAACACACAGAGCGTTGAAACGGGATATCGACATCGCCTATAGAGCGCAGCGGGACTTCGTCCCGGCGCCGGGTACACACACGCACACGCGAGAGACGCACGACGTGCACCATCCGCGTCCCCACTGCCGCGGGGTCGGTCAGGCACGTGCGGAGATCGCCCCGCCGCTGCACGCGCCAGGGCCTTGACTAGGAGCCCCGGGGCTGGCTCGGCACCGGCGCCACGCGCCCCCCTCGACTGGAGCAGCGGGGCTCCCCGTTGCCCGCCGCTATATCACAGACAGAACCGTCCCCGGCCGGTCAGCTCGGCTCCTGGTGAGCGTCGCACGGTTAGGAACACGCGCCGGCCGCGCCGCCGCGCTATGAAGTCCGTGGCCGGGGCAGCGGCGGCGTCTCACGAACCCGACTCGTTGCGGTAGCCGAGGTTCTTCCTCTGCAGGAAGAGGTGAATCTCGCGGAAGTTGGGCCGGTCGAGCGGGTCACGCCGCCAGCACTCCAGCAGCAGGTCGTAGATCTCACGCGGACAATCGTGTGGCTGCGGCAGGTACACCTGGAACGGAGGAGACGGCTGCTAGAGCTGCGGTCCAGCTCGCACGGCTGCTTGCATTGCCGTGGGAGATGCTTGACGGTCCGCCGCACCCCGCCGTCGTATCGCGTAATGGGGCTGTCGGCCGCCGCACCGCCACCTGGGCCCAAGGCGACGCTCTGGAATTCATCGACTTCGACGCTTTGATATGCTAAAAGCCTACACGGCCACGCAATGCAGCTTTCCATTTGAGTTGGCTATTGTCACGGCACCGGACTATCTAAGCAGGCAGCAGTCGTAAATGGGTAGGAACCGCGCTTTATGGCCGATTAGGCCAACACGTCGCGTCGTCATTCCTCCCCTGTCGCCAGGGCAAACACGGCGCCTTTGCTGCCAGCGACGACGCGGTGCGCCAATAGGACACGCTTTCTCTGGAGCGCCGACCGGACCGGAGGGCAATCACGCCCGCCCCGCCTCTTTCCGCCCGCCCGCCGCCTCTCCGCTGCGACGGTCGGGGCGCCGCGTCCGAAGAGAAGACCGCCCGCACTCCTGAGGGGTTCTGCAGGGCGCCACGTACCCGCCGGTCACGCTAGATGAGTTCGCAGGGCCGCAGTGAGGCCCATCTGGCCTCCTGTCTGACAGGCGCGAGACATGGCAGCGGCCACCGCACCACTGGATGTACGCTGCCAGGCGGAGGTGTAGCGTTGCATGAAGAGATGGTGCAAGAACACGGGATCCTATCGTGGTGCACCTGAGTGCATTGCAACGCTGTGTTCTCTACGGGTAAATATCTATGCATACTTGAATGTGAGGCCCTTTGCTCCGACAGCAGACACCTTTGTCCAACACGCGTCCCAGCAGCGTCGCTGGTCGTTCCACCAACGGTTCCTCCCCGTCCCAGAAGCGGTCCCCGTCGTCCCACCAGCGGTCCCCGTCGCCACAGCAGCGGTCCCGTCGGTTTCCGACGCAGGTCGATGGCGGCGGCGATCGGTTGGCGCCGGCGGCCGGTCCCGGTGGGACACTCCCCCCACGGCAGGCAGGTCGCTATCTGCGAGCGCTGAGCCACAGGGGATCGCCAATATCAGTCCACCAACACAACCCATATTGGTCCCCGCTCCAGGCTGACAGCCCGTCGACCCGCGGCCGACTGGGGGCGTGCGGAGCGGGCTCGTGCAGCCTTGTCATCGCACACATCATCTTTCGACGCTCCCTGCCGCACATACTCGGCGCACTGCTGCCGACGCCGCCGCCGCCCGTCGCTCGGCGTGCGAGTACCGTCGAGGCGGCAGGCGATGACCACGCCAGCGGGAGACGCCCGCCGCAGTGCGGAAAGCGATCCGGAGGCAGGCAGCCTGGACCCAGCGGCAGCCGCCTGCGCACGCGGTCTAATGACACGGCCGCTGATGGCTGCCGACCGATGCACGTAATGATCGCGGCGCGCGATGGAAGTGATGGCAGGCGCACAAGGCAGCGATAGCCGGGCCGGCGATAATCGATATCGCCATTACGAGCGCGGGGCGGACAGCTGCTCAGAGGCAGAGGCGCTCGTCGCAGTGCGGCTTCCAAGGTAATGGTGCCACCAGTGCAGTGGCACGGCATGGTGGGACGCATTGAAAGGAATGGCATGCCTTGGGTGGTTGCAATGCGCCCGTTATGACTTCTGGATCCAGTGGGGGGAAGGGTGTTTCTCGTGCTCAAAGTAAGTTTTACGAGGCTCTCCGGGGAAGCGTCACGTCTAAAGTTCAGTGGATGTGTGCCTCGATCGATCACATGGCTCCCTCCCAAACATGTTGCTGGGCGCGCCTTGGCTGTCGGCGCGCGGGTTCATCAGCTATGTCCCAAGCAGCGTGGCTGGGGCGGCCTCTGGCCGGTGCGGGTGGCTATGTCAGTTATGTCAAGCACGTTGACTTGGACAGACGCGGCCCATTCATTAGTGATTATGTGACCATAAACTGCGCAATGCGCATTCTGCGCGGTTTACGATTGGTAAGGACGGGGAGCGCGCCCTAAACATAAGTTATAAGGCATCCATCTGACGGCTCTCGCAAACTACACCTAATTAGTTACGTCTTCCGTGGGCGATTTTATCGATGGCTCTCGTTCGCAGCATCAGTCCTTCTCCCTCTTCCCCAAGGGTTAACAGCGCCGGCGTCTTTATCCTATTGCAAGCGACAGTCCCCGCCCAGCCGTCGTGCTAATGCAATCCTCCATCAATGCCCGCCGTATACAAATATCATTACCAGCTCCCTCGTCGTTAGCGACTGTCCAACCTCCCGAGGCGTTGTGCCAAATAAGATGGGGTCCTGACAGTGGACCCGAGTCGGGGCGCAAGCGATCACCGCCGCCAGGAATTTACATAATTGTGTTTTATGTGGGCGCGCGGGCGGGCCGGTGAGAGAAGCCGCGTCTCTGGGGACGGGGAGAGGTGCCGGCGGCCATCTGCCCCTCCTGGCCGGGGCCGGACGTCCGTCGGCGCCCGGCGCATCACCCGGGCGCGGCGCCGCCACGCTCCGTCGCCATACCTTCAGCGACGCGCGCGCGCGGCGGAGGATCGGCGGCGCGCGAGGAACAGGACCAGGACGCGGCGACAGGGCGCAGGCCACCACGGGCGACACGCCGGTGGAGCCCCCCGGCGGGCCGGCGGGCACCGGGGCGCCAGCGCCAGCTGCTGCCGCCGCAGGGACGCGTGGCACGGACGCCAGCGCCGCTCGCCATGGCAGGAGCTGGGCCGACACGGACTGGAGGTGGACATCACCCGTCGCGTGTCGGGGCCTCAGGCGTTACCGGTTGTAGGCCGCGTGCGCCGAAGTAGCCCGTTGGCTGAGGACACGATGGGAGGCGGAGTCGTTCCGGCCAGGAGTAACAACAACGCGGAACTTCGTAAAATGCGGTTAGCGTCAGATAAATTCCCTTGCCATTGGGGTCGGGCTTGTTTGGCCGGGCGACGCTGCAATGTGACGTGTCGGGAGGCCGCTGTGCTTTACGGCATTTTGACGGTTCCGCGGCGCTGCCGCCGCGTCGCTGTAAAACAGCGCTATCGGCGGGCCGCCGGGTGCTTCAGGCCGCGATGGTTTGGTTTGGCACGCTGGGCGGTGAAACACATGACCGCTACGCCCCAGATCGGGCGCTGCGCGCATCTGATTGGACTCGCGTTCGGAACAGCGCTAGATCAGCGCGCCGCCGGCTGGCCAAGTCGGAAGTGCTGCAGCGATGACAAAAAGAGCTTTTGCCGAGGAGAAAGGCTTTTGGCCGCTCTAACGTTTATATTTACAATTTTCAGTGTCGAAAGGGAACAGTATCACAATGTTTTTATACCGAAACAGTGCGTTGATGCACGTGCTTACGCGAGGCGCGCTTATGACCTTGACGCGTCATCCAAGCAGATCTCGCATATGTAAGCTGCCTGTCGCTGTGATAGAGCTGGGCCAGCGTCTCAGTGGCTCACCTGCTGCGCGTCGTTGTGATAGAGCTGGGCCAGCGTCTCGATGACGCGCTCATCGGTCATCTCTTCGTAAGGCTGCTGGCGCGCGTAGGTCAGCACCTCCCACAGCGTCACCGCAAACGACCCAAACGTCCGACTTGGTGGTGAATTTACCCTGCGGATACACACATTAACAGAGCTGGTATGCAGGGTGACGTCAGACTGTGCACGACCACCGTGCGGATACAGAAGTTGATGATGGACACTAAGTCACATTATGAATGCGTTCTCAAATCAAGGATAGATAATTTCAGCACAGTCGTGAATCTGTCGGACTCCATTCAGGATATTTTCACTCACATAAGTTAGGAGCGAGAACAACAATCGTTCAAATGCAAAGCGGGCACGACATTGCACTTAGCCGTCAGTAAGCCCTGGGATATGTGTGTAGGCATAAGATGGGTCTTCGAAACTACATGCGAATCCCATTAAAGCACCATCTGGCAAATAACGGCGCATAGCTTCCTTTCAGCGAAAATTTCAGGCCAAATATGGATTAGACGTACAGACAAATTGTCAGAAATATCGGTGGATATGCGGTACTTCCTGTAGCGGGTGTGTTGTGTTGCGCAGACCCCTTTTTCACGCTTGCTTGCGTGGCGTTGATATCAGAGTCTTCCCTGAGCTTGGTGTGTGGAAGCTGACATCACTGGTTCAGTGATCTGGACTACCGAATGGTTTTGGTCCATCCTATTAATCAGCTTGTTCCGGGAATTCTACCGTGCCATACATTGCACGGCCGCTTGATGGTGACGTTCCCCTGCCTATGGGGAGAAGTGCGACGCCGAAGTGCAACTCAGGACATCCGGTTGTTGCCCGCCCGCACCCCGCGCCTGACACTCGTTCAGTGACAAAGCTGGTGCCCCACCCATTAACATCGCAGCTTCTTCGTAGGCCAAGTCTGTTTTAATAGCGATTGACAAGAAACGTAAAATAATTATTGCACTCAGCAATTTGCAAAAACATTTTACTACACGCCATGAGCCGTAGCACGCCTGAAATGCTAAATGAAGTCCATTCCATGTTTCGGTGTCATTTTGATGAGGTTCCGATGAGAGTCATGTTTGATGAGGGTCACAGGAGTGGTCCGATCTGCCCAAGAGTTACTGGGATCCGAAACCCAATCAGCCCCAGTGGCGGTTACTCCTCGGGCTTCAGCTAAACGTCATGCATGGAAATCTGTTTGAACAAAGGTTGTTTGAGCATGGCTGTTCCCTCCGACAGCTTGACCAGCAGCCGTCCTCGTGTCCCAGGGTCCCTTCGAGACAATAGCCCCCCCCCCCCCCCTGTCCCACAGACCTAAGTCCATGCCAGCGAACTTCTACCAGCATCGCGGCTCTAAAGCAGCTTAAACCAAAGCAACAACAGCGATATGGACCACGAAATCCGGTCCAACTAGCAGCCAGCGCTGTCGAACCGCCGCTAAAATTGTGACGCGAACTTATTCCGCAGGTCGTCGGAGCCTGGCGGCCCGCCCCCCCCCCCCCCCTCCCCCCTTTTTCTCCCCGTACTGAGCGGCACGTTGACGCTATAAATACGGGCTGAAGGAGCGTCGAATGACGGCCACGTTGAACCGAAGCCCAAGCAGTTTACGCGGCCGCAATTTGTAATCGATGAAGTCGTTGACCTGCGGCCGGCGGACGAAAAAAGCAGGCCCGCCGCCGCCGCCCCGGGCGATTTCACAGGACAGATGCTGAGTGGTGCCGGCGTCAGCTGAGATATGGCCACAATGTCGCCGCACAGCGCCGGTAATGGAATGGTCGACGAAAATGGCGCACCGATTCCGGAAAAAGGGTACGCCAGGTCCGGAAATGGTGCGCCGCCGTCGCAGGCCATTTAAAAACTACACCGTCGGCGAGGGTGGTGGTGTGATAAAGGATTGGAGCACGCAGGCTAGCAAGACCCATCGTTATGCTAGAAATAACGTATGTAACCTGTACAAATGACTTACTTTATACACAATGAACGTGTCTGGTGGAAACCAGTGTCATCATGTCATGCCAATGAAATGTTATTGCCAATATCTTTGCAACGCCCACCGACGAGCGATGTGTTGTGCCTTTCAACAAGGGTTAGAGAGGGAACGCACCAGAAAGATGGCCTCCCAGGCCATCCAGCGGATTGGCAGCAGTGTCCTGCCCTCGATCTTGTAGTAGTCGTTGGCGTACACGCCTCTGCTCATGCCGAAGTCGGATATCTTCACCATGTGCCCGCGACCGACCAGACAGTTTCTGCAACGCCCCAAGCGAGGTTATGAATGAGGCGTCACAATCGCGCACAGGCCACCCGCCTGGACAGATACCGCCAACGCCACGACCTGAAATAACAATCTCGCAGTTATCCGAGGACCCGGGGAAGACACACACAATGGGCTAGGCCGGGCCGATGCGAGGAGCCCGGCGGCATATACGACGAGGCGCGGACAATGCGCGGAGCAGACCCGCCGCCAGCTGAGCGCCCCCGTCTCCCTTTGTGGCGCACGTCGACAGGCTCGCGCCCCATTCTCGGCCAAGTCCATCGAGAGCTCTTCAGCGCTGCATTGTCCGTCGTCGGGCCTTCTTCCCAATCGCTGGGGTATCACTGAACTGCCGGCGCCCACAGAGCGTGAAGAATGCACCCGCCGCCAACAAAGGTGTCCCGAACGGCCGCCGTCATCGCCGCTGACATATGAGGCCGCGACAAAGCGGCGTTCGATGAGCGTTTGGCGCTGAGGCGCCACGACGGCAGCCGAAAGGGCGGCGTTTTTAGCGCGACGCGTTTGCGATCGAGATGAGTGTGTGGGGGACGGGGACGGTGGCGGTTAGGCGCTGCCGGGAGGGGAAGGGGACGGTCAGGCAGCGAACGACGGCCTCGTGTTGCCTGTCGCGACGAGCGCTGCTGTCTGAGCGGCGGGCGGTAAATGCGGACGTGTTTCCTTTGGATCGCACACGTGTAACGCCAAGCGACGAGGTGACTTCGCTCTGCCGGGCTTCCATGCCTAGCTGGCTTAATCAGCTTCCGGACCTGGAATTCAGTTGCAACTGCCGAGCAGCAGGCCTGGAGAATAGTGTCTTTTTACTTCAGCGTTTGGCTGTAAATCCCACGCCCAAAGTAATGAGACGTCCGAGGCACGGGGGACGTGAATCTTCAGCGGGGTGAGGAACAACACCATTATCGCGGTCGTAAGCGTCATACCAGGAATCTTTACGGTCCACATCGCCAAGATCGCCCACCCCTTTCAGACCGTTCTCCGTATCGGAGGTGATTGCTTCTGAAACGCAGTAATACGATTCTGCAGTTACATATGATTTCCATTAGGACGTTTCCTCCTTAGAACGAGACTGATTATTGGCAATTTCCTGCAGGCGCCGAAATGGTTCCAGCAGTTGCAGTGACGTTGGTCTGAGGGATGCGACTGGAGCCGCAGAAATAAGCACCGGCGGGGAAGAAAAGACTCTCGAGGGGAAGGCTTTGCGCCCAGCTCAACCCAGCGACCAACCAGGCATTCGCAGAGATCCGGTCAAACTATTGCTAAAGATGTCAAAGACCCGAATAAATGGCTCATAGCACACTTCAATCAATAACTACAGAAGTTCTGCTCGCCGGCCGGCCAACAAAACTCGGCACAGACCACGCTACCCCCTCCCCTCTCCCAGCACCCTACCATCTCAAGCCCCCTGCGTCTGCTGAACGATGCCGTCATGGTGGAAGAGAGCCACGCTCGCAGCAGATACGCAACATTTGGCGGCTTCCCACCACCCGGCCCTACAACTGAGCTGCACGCGTGCCAATAACTATCGCCGACTCTTCTTTTCACATCGGGGGCTGGGCTTTAAATGCGCCCGGATCACTCCGGCACAATGCAGAGAAAACGGCAATATTTAACGATTCACTAACCTGTCGTAATGTACCGATCAACGACCATTATACAAAACATTCGTTAATTCGTTATGGTTGGCGTGACAGAGGCCGGTGCTCTTAACACTAGGCACTGGAATTAACCAGCAATGAACTTAACTAGATCGCATGTTCCCATCCAATGAACGCAGTCGTGAATGCATGTGGTACATGTTTACCAGCGATCAAACTTCCCATTATGTGTTTATGCAAGCGCAGTTCATACTATTGGCCAATCTAGGCCACTCGTCAGTAAACTGGTCCGCACTGAATGCAAACAAACTACAGCTAGCAAAACTACAGCAATCAATACATGACGCTACAAACATACAACAACGGTCCCAGATGCCCATCCCTCTGAAAAATGCACTAAGCCCCGAGGCAAAGACCGAGAGCAGTGCAATACGTTTCTGTGCGATCCTGTAATCGCAGGGTGCGCGCAGGGGCGGTCAGATTTCGTCGAGGGTGCGCGAGACAAAGCTCCGATGGCCTCCGCTAGCGCTAATCGCCGCCCGCCACGTGGCAGCGTCACATTAGCCGCATCAATCCGAGGCCCGATCAGCCGGTAATCGCAGGTGTCCGGTGTCCCTACCGCATTAACGGAAACACTAGCCGATGGAGGCTGGCATCGATCACGGTTTGACGGCGCCTTCGGACGGCGGCGAAACACGCCGCGAGCCGACCCCGGCTGACCCCAGCTGACCCGGCCCGCGGCGGGGAGAGAGCGCCGCCCGCTCGGGAGAGATCTCCGCTAAACGGTGCGGCATCGGGGGCAGAGGTCAACCGTCCCCTGTGTTAACCGCAGTTGCAAGAGCCATAATCAGCGGCGTTCGTGGCTGCACACTCACGACAGCCGCCGGCGGGGAGTCGCGGGGCAGTGTAGCAACGGGGGGCCGCGTCGCGTGCCCGCCGGACGCTAGCCGGCCGGCCAGTTTACACCGCTGCTCGGGCCGACTGCAGCGGGTCATTAGCGTCGGCCGGCGCCGGCCGGCGAGGGCTCGCGTGCGGCGCGGGTCAGGGGTCAGACGGGGCGCGCGGCCAGCCCCGGCCGGTCAGCCCGGCCGGCGCCATTCATTCGGCTCCGGGGTGCCCGGTCTCCGCAGGCGCCAAGCTCAGCATAGCGAGCCAAGTGATGCTACGGCGAGTTCGTGCGATTGGACACCGCCGCTGGGAAACTGTATATCTGGTTTCGCAGTCATTCAACGGTATTAATTGGCTTCATGTCGGCAAGGCGTCAGAGGCTCCCAATCCTGCAACAATTTCACAATTTGGCTGTAGCCGTATAGCACACCTTGCACGCAAGGGAAACATCTATTTGAACTTCGATTCTGTGATGTTCCTTGCAAAATAAATGAACCAGGGCTGTGGTGCGATACTTTCAACTTGTCTGCCTCATGCTTTCTCTATCTACTCAGGGCATTAAATACCATGACTATACTAAAAACCAGACCGCAAGTCAGTCACGCGAACTGTCAATAAAGGGCCAGGTTAAGTTTAGTGCTTGTTCAGTGGGTAATTAATGATCACGCAAACACGCCTGGTCGTTAATGGGCTAATGGAGGAGGGGTTAGTGTATTTCAGTGCGCTCACAGAGCTGAGGCGCTCACAAACTAACCTCCAGTGAACATCTCACACAGTCTTCGCATACCGTCTGCTCACTGTGCGCAACTAGGCATTTAGAGGTATCTATATCTATGGAGTATTTATACCTATGGAGTATCTATATCTATGGAGTATCTGTATCTATGGAGTATACCTCAGACAGGTCAACTGCCAACAACATAGAAGACACTCCGATTAACATGAAGACCATCTGCCCCTAAGCGAGCCGTAACTTATTGTGAATCCATCAAAAAAGTAAGCGGACATGGTGCATCAGCGCCCAAACCGCGACAAAGCCATCGGCCCAAGAAGCCGTTCGTACCAAGGTGCTCCTCAGCTGTCGAACCGCCCATCTCTCGGACCCACAGACTTTGTGGTGCGCAGACATCGACAGCATATTCCTCATCAGCCACGAGAGCAACAAAGCCCCCGGGTCAAAGCGAGAATAATAACGGCCCTCTCATCAGCTCATCGAGACAAAAGAGCCCTCCGACGCAGACTTCCACGCGTCTCTATGCATATCTCACCAGGCTCTTGAGCTGCATTCAAAACTCATCTGCACACGAGCCAGCGCGTGTTCCATAGACCACCCGCGAGTTCCCCGCCCCTCTCCCTGAGATTGCCCCAAGCCACCCACTCGCCAAAACCGCACGGCATTCCGAAAACCCAGCCATAGGCGCGAGGGCTTCAGGGCTGGAGGACAAACAACCACGGTCGAAGTATATGTGCGGTAGCTTATAGAAGCATGGGAGACGCATTACCCCCAGAGCGTGACAGTTGAGCGAATCAAAGACGAGTTTCATTGGTCTCGGCCTAGCCCCGTGGCGGCGCCGCCGTTGGCACCGCCGTTCAGCGGTGTCCAGGCGGCGTCTGTGGCGGCAAGACGTGCAATTACGTTGGCGACAACAGTCAGTACAGATGAATAGAGCGGATACGGGCGGGCGGCAGTGCTCATTTGCCAACCGCCACCCCATTGATCGTCGATACCCCATCTGCATGCGCTCCCGCCGCGTCGGCTTCGGCGGGGTGCCGTCGGCGCCGACGGCGGCCGACGAACGCCGATACAATCGCGAAGGTGAGGGGAGGCGTGGGGAGGGGCCGGACAAACGGTGCGGTGACGCGCATTAGAGCGTGGCGGCGCGACGCTGGGGAGCGCCGCCGAAGCCGGCTCGATATGAACCGCCGGCGTATGCTGGAGCCGTCGCGAACTGACGCAAAAACTCGACGGGTGGCTGGTGCGTCGGCGATCGGGGTGGGGTGGCGGCGCGGGCCGTGGGGACCGTCGTCACAACGCCGCTCGGAGCGACGCGGATCCGGAAGTTTCCAGTGCGAGGGGTCCCAAATGGCGGCGGCAGATAAGGTTGCGTCGTTTTCGCCGTAAGTGTGGCGGCTCACGCCGCACGGAACCCATTAGCGGCATACCTACCGGGCCGCGGTAGGGTTAACATGGCTCGGCGCGCCCCGACACGCCGTTGGACTCACCCGCGCCGGGGACGGCCGGGCGTGCCGGCGGCGTGGGCGCCAGAGGCCCGCGGTTCATCGCGGACACACTCACATGTCATGCGGCACAGTATATCGCGCTCGATCTGCCCTCGACGCCAAGGCCGTCCATCACGGCCTCGCGAGGCACAGTCACGTCAGAGCGATAATAACCAGCGCATCGATGGATTCTTTTCAGACGTATGTGGCCGTTCAGGTTTTCGGTCCGGTGTCAAGTACATCTGCACCGTCAGCCTGGCAACCGCCAGCCAATCAGCGCGGCAGGGATTTGCTGGTGAGCCACAGGAAGCGAGGCACAGCACTGGGGATGGCTCCACAACAGTGACGGGCGCATGCCTTGCGCTTAGAGACATCCCATGGCACGTTCACAAATGCTTGTCGATTATGCTGCATATGCAACAACCTCCACTGATGCAACAAGTGGTTAGCCGAGAGTTTGTTAAGTTTAACGCCTGGTGGTAGATACTGACGAGGATCGTTAAGGACAAATCGTAAGCCAATTCCTGGTGGATGGCAAAAATGCAACGTTAGAAGTCAAGTGAAAGCTGGATTTTTGAGCAATTTCCCACTAGTACCATTGTTCAGTTTGTAAACCCTGTTGAAAGAAGCGAAACGTCAGCGCCACTTTGTTCGCTCAGGCTGTTCTGTTACTTGTCAGAGCGCTTTTTACAACAAATGATCGATATCTGGTGGAAATTCCTTACCTCGTAGCCAAGTCCCGATGCACGAAGTTTAGGGATTCCAGATATTTCATACCGGACGATATCTGAGTGGCCATATAAATCAGGCTTCCGTAGCTGCAACGAAGGACAAAAATATCATCAAAAACGCCGCGCATACACAGATTGAGTTTCTGACCATAAATCATGATAAACAGCAAGGAAACGACGGTGATATATGTGGCCATTACTGACATTGAGAGCCCTAGTAGACCAAGGAGGAGAGATGGATGGACGACAAAGAAGAAGGAGTGGCAGAGGATTCGAGCAATAAGAGAAGAGGAGAGAGGGACTGTGGGGGATGGAAAGCCACCAGAAGGAAATAACATAAGAACGAGTACAGGGAAAACCGAAATATATTCAAAGGAGGAAGACAGCAAAATAGGGCGGTGGACAGACCAAGACACGGTGAAGCGAGAGGGGCATAATCGCGTGAGCTGAAGGAGGCGGTCGACCATCCCGATCCCAGATCATCCCGCCCTGCGACAACACTCGATGACGGCTCTCCCACGCCTCGCTCACGCTGGCGCCATTGGACGTCCCAGCGCCAACAGGACCGGGCGCGGCCGCGGCTCGGTGGCGGCCCACACCCTCCAGGGCCTCGCCATCCGATACCCAGCACACGGGCGGCGCTGTTTGCCGTGGTAACAGCGAGCGGGCCGGACGCCTGGAAGAGGCAGCCAACCCTTCCACCGGTCAATAGCGGCACAGGCGGCAACAATGGGACCGGTAATGTGAGGACGGCACGCCGGCCGCGCGCGGCGCATCAACCGACGAGAGACGGGCCGCTAGAGGCCGGCCGGATCTACCAGCAGGGACTGCAGGCTCCCGCTGCGAAAATGCGCCGCGTGGCGGGCTCTCTAAACCCAACGGGCGGGCGACCGGTGTGGTCAATCGTTTTTGCCGCGTGTTTTGCGGCGCTGGGCGACGGCGATGTGACTGATACAGGGTCCGGAGATGTGTGGACGTGTGGGCATGTGCGCTAGATCAGATGTGCTGGGTGTGCGCGTGGCGGGCTGCGGGGTGAAAATATCATATCAGGGAGCGGAAAGCATCGCACACCCTTCCCATTGATCACCGCCATGCGATGGGACGGTGCAAATGGCAGCCGAACAAGTGTGCGTGGTTGCGGTAATGGTTGTGTCTGTGTTAATGACGCGATGCTTTTGTTGTGCATAGCCAAAAGAAGCGAACACCTAAGTTCATGACATCAAATCCCGTGAGCTACGTCGCTAACACATCGCGTTCCCGTCGCGTGACCTCAAAAAGAGGGTCGTCATGGGGTCACCCAACATGCTCTCAACCCAGATGTCCTCTCAGACCACGCTCCTTTCACCGGGAACAGGTTGGTTTGAAGTTCTAAACCTAAGCCTAGGCCTTTCGTCCTACATCGAGCCCTCTGCCAGGGGCGCACAGGGTGGTCTTACCTAAGTACTTTGCCGGAGGCGTGCAGGGCCGTCTCCGCCACGTGCTGCTGCAGGTACTGGTTGAGGTCGCCATGCTCCATATACTCGACCACCACGCAGAGGGGCTCCTCGCGCGTGCACAGGCCCAGCACGCGCACGATGTTCGGGTCTTGCAGGCGGGCCAGGGTGCGCGCCTCCCGCTCAAAGTCCGCCCTGCCGGCAGGCCGGCGCGCAGTCAGTGCGAGTCAACACGACCGGCGCGGCTCGGGCCCAGCTCGGGCCCGGCTTAGGCTACAAGCCGAGCGGCGAGCGGTCATGTCAGGTCAGGTCAGGACCTCACAGCTCACGAGCGCGGCTGGCGCACGGTCCACTCTGAAAACGATCGGTACGGGGCGCGGCCGGGACACGCTGCGCGAGCATTCAAAGCGCGGATCGACGTCGTTACATGTTTTTGTACGTTGCTCTGCAGTTTAAGCAGCTTCTTTGACTCAACGTGCGGACTTCAACACCCAAAGTTCGTCTCCGGAAAAAACCATCGCCGCGAACTCCTAAGTGGGTGGTGGGGAGGGGGGGGGGAGTGCGAGCGCCCCGGCTCAAGTCCCCGGGCGGAAAGCGGCCGCCGGCGGGCCCGTCCATTGATCACCTCAGGTGGCCATGTCACGCCTGCCCAGATCAATACGCCGGCGGCCGTCTCCGCGCGCCCGAGCCCGGGGACCGGTCGCGCCAGCCCCCCTCCACCCCCGCCCCCAGCTTACAGCGCGGGGCCGTGGTGTGTGTGGTCCCGAGCGGCGTTTTTAGTGGAAGTAGCAGTGGCGTTGTGCAAGATGTTCTGGCGGTACGGAGGGCGCCAATTTCGCGTCTTCGCGACCGGAAAGTTAGAATAGAATGGAAACACAAATCTCGGAAAATTACGCCCTTGCATGTCAAAAATCGTAAAGGAAAGCACATGCCCACGTGACTCCACTTAAATACGTCCTGGGCAGCATTAAGCCGAAAACCACAGCCGCTCGGCCCAGCGCCTCCAGCGGAGTTCGTTACGCTCCCTGACGGCTGTCCCGGCCGTCACGCTCGCACCGGGCCGCCGCCGGCACGTGATCTGGGCGCGCCACTCCTGCGGACGTAGATGGCTCTTCCGGTGACGCGCCGCCGCCGGTGCGCCTTTGATGTCACGTGTGTTGATTACCCGAGACGCCGCCGTCCGGGCGACTTTGAATTCGCGCCGCTACAAGGGACGGCCGCGACATCAAAGACATCAAAACGTGCCGGCGACCACACAGCGCCGGCGGCGGCGGCGGCACCGCAGCCGCTGAGAGGGCAGGGGAAGGTGATGTGTGTTAACGTCGCGCGCCTCTCTGTAGTCAGGAGAGTAAACACGTTTGCAGTGCTCCTGGAGAGTTCGGCTATCCTAACGCAGGTCAAATCTGCTTTTCAGTCATTTCGAGGGTGAAAAGCCGGCTGCCTTCAGTACTCTGCGGTTCGGACCCCGCTGGCCACAGTGAGGGTCGTGTCAAGTTTGCATAGGTTGCTGTTCGCAATGATGGTATGAACAGCTATTAGGACTGCTACTGGTTCGAGGAGCTCCAGAGGACTGTTCGCTCGAAGCCCTTCCCAACGGCGTTTCGCTCGCAGCAATAGGGCGCCTTCCAAGCGGTGAAATCCCAATTTCTATGGGACGCAACTTGACGAAGCGCCTGATTGGCTGTCACCGAAACTGATAGATTGCAGGAAGATTCAGGCGAACGACAACAAGAGCCAAAGCGAAAGGGCACTTCCAGTTACTGGGTATTGATCAAAGCCCCGAGAAAGCGATTCGGAAAACATCTCGCGTCGTAAGCCGGAAAATATGTAACGTCCTGTGGCCGCTGCGTAGCATGATGCATATTTTGAATACAAGCATAGTGACAATACAACGCGGCAAGAAGGAAATAGAGCAAAAAAACATATGTTTTGATGGCAGGTTCAAAGCACAACATTCTACTCCTGTCCCCTTTATTTTCACAAAAATGACTCCACGGCTTGATGGAAAAAATCTTCCCAGGCTTAGAAACAAGGACGTTCACGACTCAGCATCTTTTTTACATAAGAATGTATGAATGATGATTTAGCTCACCCCGCTTGAGCATGAGAGGTTGCTCAGTATTTTTTTTTTTTCGTTCACCCCAAAGCAAATATGTTCCGGCGCTGTATCGCGTCATGAGAGTTGTGACGGTGCGTCATTACGCTAGCTATGCTGCTAACGGTAGCCCAAGGTATCGGTTTCCAAGCAAACATACTCATGCTCACATCAAACGCTGTAATATGCCAAGAACACAGGAATGCATTGCACCGCAGTCATGGTAATCGAGCACGTCGGGCGCGTCGCCATCGCCAAGTCAAGTCAACATTGCCAGGCAACGGGGTTTGTGGAAACAAGCCAGGAAGCGATCCCTTGAGGGTAGTTGACGAATACCGTATTACGCGGGGCGAAACGGCGCAGACGGTGTCCCAGGGGTCACTTACCTTTTACTTGGTCTGCTGGCGTGTATTGGGGTGCAATTGGGCGGGATACCGCTGTGCTCTGGATATTATGGGCATTCCCTTCCATATACCTAATTGCGTCGACCGTTGTATACGTCAGACAAAGACACGATGGTCGCAAGGCCCACGCGGCTTTAAGTGCTGACCATGCTTTGTGACCAGGCCTGTGCTCCCCCACCCCACTAGCATAAGGACTTGTTCAAAGATCAATAAACAGGGACAACACGCGCCAGGAATACTCCACAGCTTCTCCTGAAGAGCAGGCTGGCCTGGGTGCCAGCGCAGGCCCACAAGGAAACACCCGCTGGGACAACCCCACGGCCCCGCCTGAGGAGCAGGCTGGCTCGGGTGCCAGCGTAGGTCTTCAAGGAAACACCCGCTGGGACAACCCCACAGCCCGCCTGAAGACCGGTCGGGCCGGAGATGCCGGCGTCGGCTCATGGCGTCGTACCTGGCCGCCTGGGAGGTGCCGGGCCGCAGCGTCTTGACGGCCACCAGGCTGCGACAGCCGGGCCCAATGACGTCCGGCACCACGTCGCTGCCGCCCTCGATGTGACAAGGTGCACCTGTGCGGCCCGGTCCCGCGTCACCACCCTGAGCCGGCGACAGAGCCCCGCGGCGCCGGCCGGGCTTCGGTGCGTCACAGGGGCAGCCGCTGGGATTTGAGGCGACGGTGGGAGTGGGTTCGGACGGGTTTTTAGAGCGCTGGGTTTAGATGCAAGGCGGCACACGTGGGTGGAAGTGATTACAATTCTGGTATGGGTAACCGGCGTACTTTGTTCAGGCTGATGGTTTGGTTCCAAGGCGAACGAGGCGCGCTGGCACCTCTTCGCATTGTCTGGGTTATCAAGTTGTAAATTTATGCGCCTTGGAGGATTTAAATGGATCACCTGCAGCGGCTTGGAGAAGGGTCGGGGCACTTTGTTTTCGCGGAACGAAGATAAAGCGATGCCAGCGCGTCACAGACAATCGAAATCTACAGCCCCAGCGGCACACGAACAACGGCTTGCAACAGCAGTTACAGTCCCTCGCCGATGAAGTACGACAACTGCGCGAAATGGCGCACGCTGGGTTTGCCATCCGCGCCGAACTTATACGGTGGTAACAAGAGGGCACCCAGTGGGAGACCGATACGCAACGGAACGAGGCAATTTATATCTGAATAGGACTCCCGGCGCGAGCGCCACCGCCACCCGCAGAGACGAACCGGCACCGAGAACAAATGGAACACCAGAAATTACCTCGCCGAACTGACCCTCGCCCAGTTTTTCGTAGAGCTTCAGCTGATGGCGCGGGATCTGCGGAATTTCAACGTCGTCCATCGGTCCGTTTTCTTCCGACAAGAAGTTCGTTGGCTGGAAATGGGAAGAAGAGAATGGACTCAAGGTAAAAAGTCTCGAAAGCATTAATCTGGTAACCATCAAGCACTGAGCGGTGAACAGCTGTGAATAGCGAAAACATAATCACTTTTCAAAAGAATGAGACTACCAAACCAAACCAAGAAACAGTGGCCTAACATGATTACTATGAAATGCGTTATGGCTAAGTACGTTATCGAATGCTATGGTCCCCGGGATATGTGTGAAGGCGTCAGCAATTTCAAGTCTGTCTTAGTCACATTCAGGTAAAGCGAGGATCAATGAACACAACTCATGCACTGAATTTGTTTATTCTTCATCAAGCCCAAGGACGGATCGGATGCCTTACGCAGTCAAAGCAATTGTATCTGCCCTCCCCGCCCGCTGCCCTCCCCGCTGCGCCTGCCTCCCCATCCGCTGTTCTCTCCGCTGCGCCTGCCCTGCCCGCCCGCTGCCCTCCCCGCTGCGCCTGCCTCCCCATCCGTTGTCCTCCCCGTTGCGCCTGCCCTTCCCGCCCGCCGTCCTCCCCGCTGCGCCTGCCTCCCCATCCGCTGTTCTCCCCGCTGCGCCTGCCCTTCCCGGTCCGTCCCCGGCCGGCCTCTCTCACCCTGCAGATATCGGTGGCGGCGTAGTGTTGCTCCAGCACGGGGCTGGCGGCGCCGCGCCGCAGCGCCGTCACCGTCTTCGGGCTGTGCTTGGAGCGCGGACTGAGGCTCAGCTGCGGGCTCGCCGGCGGCTCCAGTGCCATCTTGGGCCCGTTGGTCAGCGGCGGCCGCTTGCAGCTCGAGAGCGGGCTGTTGGTGACGGGCGGCAGCGGCGGCGGCGTCGTCATCAGCGGCTCGGCGTAGTCCTGCGACTGGTAGTCTGACAAAAGAAGGAAGAGAAGCGTCACCAAGGGGTCCATCTATAGCGGCAGGTTCGGGCTCAGCAGCCCTGCGGTCGTTGATCTGCCGAGCGAGGTCGGGGCAGCTGTCAGGGGCTTCGATGGTCCTACGCATGGCAGTCGGTCTGGAGAGAGTGAAGTAGTTGTCGGGGGCTCAGATGGTCCTGTGCATGGCAGTCGGTCTGGAGAGAGTGAAGTAGTTGTCAGGGGCTTCGATGGTCCTACACACGGCAGTCGGTCTGGAGAGGAGTGAAGTAGTTGTCGGGGGCTTCGATGGTCCTACGACTGCGAGTTTGTCGAGAGGCAGTGGGACCATCAGCGGTACCTCGGTTGTATTCTCATGAGATTGACGATCTGCGCATAGACAGCGCAGCTTTTCCATTTCCATCGTTCTCGTACTCCACTGTCTCGTGCCTAAAGCGCTGACATTTGAAGCAGTTTCACAATCTGTATTGCTTTCGTTGTGCCGCGACATATGGATGTGGGGTGACCCTCAATCATGAAGGACTGTGATGTCTATATATATATATATATATATATATATATATATATATATATATCTATATATATCTATATCTATATATAAATATTCTGATATATATATATATATATATATATCTTTAAAAATCCCCACGCAGACTCTCTGTGGAGACGCAGTGCATTGTCGTTAAGCTATTCACTCGCGTCTCCGTGCAACAGAAAGGATGTGTCGGTTTACCCCAGTGGAGAAGCACATCGTGTGATCTATTTCAAGGGCTTCGGTACGTGTCGTCCTCCTGAGCACAAGCTCATTACATCAACGGAAACCAAACGCTGACAACTGAGCCATGACACTGTCATATTCACGTATAGTTCTGTAAATCTCGGCGATTTATCGCACGTAGTCACGCTAAACGTCCACTGAGAATATTCCGATTTCGCAGCTTTGAAGGGCATCATTGCCATTACAAAAACATAAAACGAATCTAAAAGAAAGATGGAGATCGTACCTACTTATCACGAGTGATTATAGCGCATCGATAGACAGTAAGTACCTCTTAGTTGCGTGACTAAACCAATATGCCGGGTTTAAGCACATAATTACGATGTTCAGACCCTAATTCGTATGGAACATACAAGACTGACTGACTACAACTGACTCATACAAGACTGCTCTGAGTTTTGCATCTGAATAAGCCACAAAGGTCACGCTAGGCAGTGCGTTACTAAAAACAAAATGTTGACCTAGGTCATTTTAGGTCAATGACCTATTCTGACATATAAGAAATCCATCGAAGATGCAGAGTGCGGTTCCTGCTATCAACAAATTCGAAACGAACACCAGAAACTATCCCATACAACAGGTCCTAGAGTAATAAAAACAGGTTGGTTTTGACCCCGGTCTGACTTTCATACCTGACCTTAGGTCAATGTAATTTGCTCATTCAGTTGTTGTGTTGCCTAAGAAAGCATCTCAAAGGCTTCGTCTAACAATCCGTTGTTGCATCAGATTGGACGATTCCCAGGAAATTGAATTCGCTGAAATCACGGCCTGACTTCGGCCTGCCATACGTCGGTGACCCTAAGAGGTACATCCAATTTTTTATACACCAAGCGATCCGCCATTCAATTTTCTACAGCTATGCAAAAATTGGCGCGGCTGCGCCGCGCCGTTCGGTAATCATTCCGGAAAACCTTCGGGGAGGGGGGGGGGGGGCAATTTGACTTCCCACCCGAGCGCGTATTCAGTTAAAACAACTTTAAAGCAAAATTCCGAAACCGTAGCTAGAGGGCATAACCACATTTAAGCCTAAATTATCATCACACATCATGACCTCGGAACTGGAAAGTAGGTCTCACCAGCGTCATGCGCAGCTGTTGTTGACGTCGTCATGCTATCGACAGACACCATATTTTCCACAATATCGTCGCGGGCAGCGAAGACAAGTCCCAATGTGACTGTACGCTCGCTGCCACGTGCCTCCCAGTGTCGTCTTCTATCGATTTCCCGGGGTGAAGTTAATAAATTTATCCCCGTGCCGGCAGACCAGAAGAAAAGGCGTTTCCACCCTTCGGGGCTTTGTCACCATGGTAACGCCTATAATTGCGCTCGGTCGCGACGGTCGTGGCCATCCATTTATGCGTCGCTTTGGCTCGTTGCCCATTCAAAAGGCAAGTGGATAAGTGGGCGTGAACGCGTGAACACGCATTGATGCATTGCACAGCTAACTGTGCAATGCATAAATAGAGGTGGGGCTCGGCTGTCCTTCGGAAAACCTTGCTCTAAAAAACGCCCACTTCAAGCAGCGCAGAGCATTTCACACAAAGCAAGGCCTTCACCTAAGCGACTCAACCGGCCTCACCGAACCTGACCTGACACGATAAGCGGAGACCAACTCGGCCGTCCGGAGCCGGCGGTGGTCGCCCGGTCCCCGGGGGCCGTTTGTCGGCGGGTCGTTGTCGGCAGGTACGCCCCATCGATGTGGTTGGCACGGCCGCCTGCATCGACCCGGCGCCGGTCGGCGTTTTGGCGGGGGACGCGGGGCAGCACGTGTGGGCGAGGCGGCCGTAAAAGACACCCACTGGCCGCCGAACGGCACGGACCTGCCGTCTGCTGGAGCGTGACGATGGATGGCAGGGGTATTGCAGTTACACATCACGGTTTGCAGGTCAGTCCCCGTACTTTGGCTAAGCGGCAGAGCGAGTCCATGCAGCCGTCTGACTCATGCGCACGTCTTCAATCACGATGATGAGTGCGAGGGCGTAAGGGGTAGCAAACACCGCTGAACAAAGCGACGCAGGTCAAACTTCCATAATAAATAGGTGGAAAGGCATATTGTTTGGAGTTACAAGCGACAGGTGACGGTAGATTGGATCGAAGGCAAAGCGAGGTGGTTTTTACATGCTCGTGGCACGTGAGCACTCGTCAATGTCGCTTTGGTATTCGGCCTTGGGGTCGAAACGCTTCTTCAAGCTGCTGACCACCTGTGTGGTTAGGGCTATGATGACAGGAATGCCCATTTAGTGCGCGCTGAACCTTCCATAATTCGTGGAAGGCTTTCGCAGTCATTTGATGATAGCTGCGTTTTCACTAACGTTGTTCAGTCATTTGATGACAGCCACGTCTTCACTAATGTCGTGTAGCCACTTTATGACAGCCGCGTTTTCACTAACGTCGTGCAATCATTTGAAGACGATTTCGTTTACGTTCTGCTATGTCATCCTCGCACACACTCACCCACGCATTGAAAAGGATAGAACTGAGCGAAAAAAATTGTTAGCCACATTGACATCATCCTAATGCGCTGTTTTTTGTGCTGAGTTTACTTAAAGGGCGTTTTACAGCAATCTTCTTAAAACGACTGTCGTCAGTTTACTGGTTTTGTGCGCAAATACATAACTGAAATGAACGCATTCCTTTAACAAAATGCATGGTACTCGAAGTTGTAAGCAGGCGTGTTTTTCCACGGACGGGAAATGGCCCTAGTCAGGCAAGTATGAGGATACAAAATTGCGAGTAGAGAAACATCTGGCATTGACAAGACTAAAAGCTCTTACCAAAGTCACCATCGGAGTCATTATCGAACAAAACGACTCAGAAAACGAGGTGTGAAC